TATAACCAACCGTTATAGGACATTAAAAAGCAAATAACAGCGGTTGTTTGTTGTACTACGTGCTATCGCGGTCACTACTGCTTGGGTCGATTGTCGTATGAAATAAGAAAACATAATCGTATTTGGTAAGATATTTTTCAGGTGAATGTTTTGTTTCAATATCTAGTATTTCAAATTTCAATCTTTCTTCGACACCATATACTTCATTGGCATGTGTGATCATGATTTCTGAAATATCCGTACCTTTGCATAAAACATAATTAATCAAAAAATATTTTCAACATATATTATATTTTTATAATGTGCCATTTTCTTACCAATGAGTACCGCTTTTGGATCGAGTGCGAGTAGAAGCATATATCTTGTAGTGCTACCGGGGCCGCAACCGACATCCATACACTTTCCTGACATATGCTTTAATTCTTCGTCAAATTCGTCAATCAATTATGTTCTTTACGTAAAAAACGTAATTGACGAGTTTGAAGAAAAATTAAAGGTCGGTTACACATTGTAGTGTGTAAGTATAAGAAGGGGAGTATTTTAAGATTTTTTCGTATCAGTGTCTTCAACTCAACGTGACAGATCCGAAAGAATATATCCGAATGAACAACTAAACACATTTTTGATCTATGATGTTTAAAAATCAAGCAAGGTGTATTTATATATAAAATTCTTTTAGATTCAATCACATCAATACATAAGACGTCAATATATTCAATAATTAGTAGAATATAAAGACATAAAGAACTCANATAATATAGATGTAATTCAATTGATGTCCGGTATCTACTAAGAGAAGATAATTATAGAAACTTAGTGAATAATATTGGTACAGTAAATATAAGAGAGGATAAACGAATGGCCTTGACTTAAAGAACACACTATTCATGTATATTTACGTATGAGCGGGACGACTCAAGAAGAGAAGAAAGACGCTAGTGCGAGTTACGCGCAAGTTCTCTCCATAGATACTAGAAATAAGTCGTAGCTCTGCAAAACTATAATGAAGGAGATAATACACACCATCAAAAGCTGCATATATGAATATCATGAACGTGTTAACATTTTGCAGATAAAAAATAAATTACTTTTGATACTTTTATAGCAAATATTTTTTTCCTATTTTTCCTTATAAAAACACCTATTTTCTACACCCCAACAAATCTTCTTTTCAGTTATCTACTAGTTAAAGAAATATATTTTTTGAACTATATAGTTATATTTTTTGCGTGATAATTCTTAAAGAATGCATTAGTTAGAGTGGCGCAGGATCTCAAGTAAATCAACGTATACGTTAAGTTAATCAAAAATTAATTTAATTATTGTCCTTTTTCGCCACTGCGCCAAGAAAAGCGTACTTCGAATGTGACAATATCTCGTAGAATAATATATTTCTTCTGTCTGTAATATTTCTATATTTCTTCAAATTATTTGCCTGTTAAGTCTTAAAGATCTCTTAAATTCCTCAGGTAAAATATTGCAAGACCTTAAGTAATTAAACATATAGGTGAAATTAATAGAAAACTATTTTAATTGAACGGTCCTGTTTTCCCCTTATTGTATAAAAGAAATAAAGCCTTGTACGTGATGGACTATACAGAATAAAATATTTCTTATGGCTTTAATTTTTCTATCTTTTAAATCTTTTAAGATTTGCATATATTTTTTATTTAAATAGTAAAATATTAGAAAGTGTTCTCTGTTAGAAATAATCTAATATGCATTAGGCCGCAGGAATTTCGGCAGAAGTGGCCGAATTGCCGGTCCGAGTCATCGTCGGTGTTAAAAGCGCGTTTCGCGCGTTCGCGATCACATGGCATTTTACGCGCGAACTTAGAGAGACGGCGAGATTTGCGTGGGATTGGAATGTATGCGGGATCCTATCGCATTTTATGTTCGCGCCTTGCGTGTGGTATCTTC